CAATCTTCGCATCTGCGGCGAGAGTTCGCATCGACAAAACTACTCTTTGCAAGCGTCATCCTGCATCACCGTCAAGCTCAAGCAACAACCATAAACAATTTTATCAAATTCATGTCAAGCGCCGACCCCTCTCTTCGAAAACTCCGAAACCACATCCGTGTGGACGATTCGAGGTATTACGCGGTGACCTTTTTGCTAAACCAATTGCAATGTCCATCAAGGCCCCGAATTCAAAGAAGGGCATCGCTACTAGGAACAAGAAGCTACTAATGACTCCAACTGTTCTCGTTCAGTAAGCTGCCTTCCATTCCACCCGGAAAAAAAGAACTTCGCAAAGCTGACCTGCAGATGATCCACTGACTTCTGAGGATTGAATATAGATAGCAGCTAGCATCCCCCCAGCCGCTGGCCGCATTTTCCAATGATCCCCCCAGTGCTCCATCTGCCTGGACCCTCCAAAATACCTTATAGAACATCTTGGTGGGGTGTTGCCCGATGTGGTTCACTCTGAAGTGGGCTTGTTAAAGGCAAATAGGCTGCAACAACGTGCCGTGCTAAACAAAGCATATTGAGTACCAAGTAGTCACAAGCTGGACGTGCACTGCCTCGGACTTCGGCCGATAACCAATTCCTAATCACCCTATAGCTGCCTATGTGATATAACATTAATATTAATAAATGTATGTGACTGCATGTGTACAAATTGTGTATAAGTATGTATATGTATAATGTGGGTTGTCCTGATGCCTACAGTGGATATGCTCTCCCTTCTCTTGCGCCCCTGACAGGGGCTGGCGCCCCACCCGCCGGCCGCGGTCGTTTTTCGTCGCGTCGCGTTCCGGGGCGGTCGCTTCTTCACGTTGCCAGGCCTGAATTGTGGGTGTCTGGGTTTTTGGAAAAGGTCGGAGGACAGATCATGGGATTCTAGGATCGCTCCAGGCAAGTAACTGACTCGAACTACCTCCGAAACTCGGTGACCGGTGATAGAAGTTTTCGGGTTTGGGTGGTTGAACGACTACCTTCTGAGTCTGAGGCGGAACTTGATCTTTCAGAATTCAAGGGCCCGCGTGGGCCCCCAGCCCCTTCAGCTCCAAAGGAGGATGGAGATTCGGAGGAAGTCGAGAGAACGAGGCTTCCAGAAAAGGCACTCAGTGGATAGATGGATGGGTTGCATATATCACCATATATCCGATTACCAGTACAGTAACAAAGTTTATTTTATTTCGTTTTGCATCTTAGCGAAGTGAAGTGGTCATCACTTCCAAACCATAGTACTCACGCACCAACAGCCGACCGAACTAATTACGAATTGGAACGGGATGCTGATGCTTAGGTTGCAGGCCTTTCTCATCCTTGATTTGGGTCTATCATGGTCTATCCTACCAGTAACCCTGGATGATGATGATTAGTAAAGGACTTGCATGTTCCAAAATAATTAGTGATAATCATTGATATATAATCGATGGAAATCGTTTACCCACTGTTACAGGTAAATAGGACAAACCCAATGGATAGATGATCTAAGACTCAAAAGTACCAGGCTAAGAAGGCATGTTCATAATGTTATGAGTCTCTCAATCTCTACCCGCACCCTCCCCAGGTCTCCTTGCTATTTTTTTTTGCTGGACCCTGTTGGAGGTCGTAATTAGTGGCTTGTGGCGTATTAGTGCTGGTAGATGATTAGGGTCCAAAGAGCAAGCGTTCCACCCTGGACACCTGGCCCGCCCACTCGTGCGCCCTCTCGTGCACCCACTTGTTTTGCTGATGCGATTTCGCAGTGAAGCTGGAACTTCTTCTTTACCCGGGCGAGACTCGACTCAGATTTGAATTTGGGCTCTGAGACCTTACCTTATCTCATCTTCTGGTTTATCCAGTTTTTGATTCTTGTCCTTGCCTCGGTTCCGCGTCTTCTCAGGGTGGAAAAGTGGCTCAGTTCCACCGCGGTGCTCTGCTTGGCGCTCTTAGGCTCAGCAGACCAGCAGTGGCAACAGCGCAGGCTGGGGGCACGAGGTTTCAGCGAGCCAACCGGATCTTCCGAACAGGACTTGACGATCATCAGGAATGTGTACCAGCACCTTCATGTCGGGGTCACCTGGCTGGTTTCGCCCCAGCCCACTACTTAGGGATCTCCATTAAACCACACCTTTGAAGGTCCAGGTAGGTTCCGATTCCAATCATGATCGGTTCTTTTCCTTTGGAATAACTTCAGTTTTTCTGGCCAGTGCCGTGATGCTGGAAATTCCCAAGGCAATCACCAGATTCTGATCCATCAAAATCCCATGTCTTCCGGGGCTCAGCCAATCCCTCTGCTTTTGGAGCTCACCGCGGCGCCCAGTTGGGACGGGCAGGTGGGGCGTCCAGCCAGCGAACGCAGTGTTCGGTGCCCCAGGGCCCCAGGGGTCGGGAGCGTTTTCCACGTCCGATGCGTCGTCCGATGGTTCACGTCGGACACTCGATGTGAAGATCGATCCTTATAGTCATAGTCTTCATGGATTTTCACGATCCTTCACGTCGCGGACCACTCATTCCCACTCCAATCTGGGACGCTCTCGGCTCCAACCCCTGGTCATGGGAGAAAACGAATCACCTCGGTGACGGACATGAAATCCGACTTCTCGGGGTATCAGAGATCCGGCCTGCATATCACTGAATGAACGCTCAGCAATTGAGCACCGCACCGTTGGGGATGGGAAAAGGTGGCTAGTAAGCCAACAAGAAACCGCGGGCTGCAGCAGTTTTGGTCTGGTTCTGCTATCAGGCAATCCAAGAGGGCTGAAATGTCCACTATATAGAGTCATTTGAGTCGAAAAAAGGCAGAACTGCATTGGGTATATCCTATTCCCTGTGAAGTGAAGTGGTTTATCACTTCCAAACAGTTGGTCAGTGTTCACGTACCAACAGCCTCATGTACTATTGGAACAGGATGATGATGTTTAGGTTGCAGGCCTTTGTCATCTTTCTCTAAAATCGTGATTTGCTTGTTTACCGACGGCTCTACAGGTAAGTTCGGACCCCCCCAAAGATGCATTTGCAGGTTGATGGAGTCGGAATGAATCCAATCAAACAATATCTTTAACATTCTTTCACCTACAACTGCTCCAGGTGGGTCAAAGCCAAGGACATTTCTGCCCGCGTGGGGAAAAAACAAGGCGGCACACACAAGACAAAGAGATCGAAAGAGCCTTCTTCCAATTGTAATTGTATTCAACCTCTTGTAGGCGCAGCAAGACCACTTGTCAGCCAGACTCTGTCAGTTCCACCTGTCAACTCATCTTCTTTCCGCATGGCGGTTCTCCAACCTCACCCTGAGTCGGAAGAGGCGTCCACGCCTACGGTTGAGCCAAGTCGCATCGGTCGTTTGGCGGTCTGAAAAGGACCATGGAACTTGGGTACACACACTGGTGGACATGGTCACACCCCAGGGATCCACATACCTTCTCAGAAGGTACTTGGGCCCTCCAAGCCTACATACATAGTCTCCAATCACCTTCTGAGAAGGTACTTGGATCCCTAGGGACAGCAGGACCTGCAAGATCCTACCAGGAGCTGTGGGCAGCCGGGGAAAGGAGCTCTCTGCGCAGCTTCGCACGTCTGACCAGGAAGGTCTTGAAGTCACGAGGGAGCCAGGTATCTCTGGGGCCTGTGGGTACAAAGTCCTTCATCTACATCAACCCAACCAGGATCAGACTGCACACAAAGCAGGATCAGTCAGTATGTAACCAAAACTCTGCTCATGTTCTAAGCTTGGAACTAAACATAAGTACCTGGACCTTCAAAGGGGTGCTTAATGGAGATCCCTAAGTAGTGTAGGGGCTTCCATTGGTGAACCCTTTGAAGGTGCTGGTATAAAAAGCCTTTGCAGCCAAATTGGGTCCTCCAACTCTCCCAAGACCATCGTCCCAAGAACAACGGTGCCTGTGCCACGTGCTTTTGGGGGGCCGGATCGTGGGGCGCTGCTGGGCCCCAAGCTCAGTAAGCTTGGATTTGTCTCAGTCAGCAACGGCGAATCGCCTCCCTTCACCGGTCCATTCTTACTACTAGGAGCAAGAGCGCTACTAGGAGCAAATGGCATCGCTACTAGGAACAAGGATGCTACTAGGAGCAAATGGCATCGCTACTAGGAGCATAGCTAGGGAAACCTATCCCCTTGAAAAAGTGTCAAGCTTAGCCACGAAGATCTAACATCAGGCTCTCTCGGGGGGGTGAACTACACCAACCACACTCACAAAATTTCACCTGGAAGCGGACGAATAGCCCTGAGTTCAGAAGATCATTCTCCTTTACAAACCGAACGTTTGCCACTTTTAAATGATACTTCCAAAGAGAGTGGTTTCGGCGCACTCTTCATTCCGCCTTCATCGCGACCACGACTTCAAGCTCTTCAAGCTCTGAAGACTTTGGGCTGGAGCTTACGCCAGCCGTTGGGCGCGCGGGTTTCGGCAGTCGTCTCCGGCGACTTCTTCGGCCAACGGATCCACAGAGAGCGGTGCAATCCACGGTGCCAACGATCCCAAAACACGGCAAGCCGTGCATGGAAGGAAGCAACTGGTTGGTGTCAAAGCACTTAAAACAGTCAGTGGGATCACTCGTCTCCATGTAAAGGTTGAACATACAAACATGTCTGAAGCCACCAGCCACACAAACATGCTAGGCTCATGGGCAACGCATGAACTGAAATCAATTGCATGCCCCAAAGGATCGTGTGGTCGATAAATCCACGTGAAGATCGAACTCCCCTCTTCACACTACGTTGTTCCTTCGATCCGGGCCGGCCCTACATCAAATGGCTGGGAGCCGTGGGGTAGTGGCATTGTGCATGAGGTAGATGATGATTATGCCCAAAATGGATTGGAGTACTCTGATATGTTTTGGACATGCCCCTGTAAGTATCGAGCAGGTGATCCAATCTACCATCGATCCCCATTTGCATCCATTGTGAAATCTTCAACGACCATTGACATGTACACCCAGTGCACCCACCAGACACACCTGCCCAGTCGACCGCGTGACCTCTCAGTCGACCGTGGGAGCCGCTCGCGAAAACTCGAAGCTGTTCGCTACGAACTTCGCTACTCATGGATTTCTTGAAGTCTACCTGCTTGCGACCTCCCCGGGGCGAAGAAGGGACGGGGCGGGGCCACACATCCAATCACTGTTGGGACCTGGGGAACTGCCATTTCTCACATATCCCAAACACGACCCGTCTGGGACTGCCATAGGACTGCCGCCCCAGAAAGACCCCCAAGTCACCACCCCTGGCCGTTTCGCAGTCCGACTCGGCAGTCCCAGACAGGTCGTGTCTGAGTCTGGTGGGCGAGACAGGTCAGTAGATAAGGTCGGTTCGAGGGTCTCTGGAGGCCACTGGACGGACCGGTGGAACCGCAGGTGGGACCCGTGAAGCTGAGTGCGTCGTTTTTGCGAAGAAAAGCATGGTGTACTCTCCCTCCCTAGGGTTCTGAGAAGGTGGGACTGGCTGGGTGTCAGGGTTCAAGTACCTGAGGTCACTTGGAGCGTTGGGTGGTGTCGGAGTTCGTCCGGGGACCCGCGCCGCCGGACCCGCGCCTCGATCTGAATCGGGTCATGTGCAAACGGAACTTCGTCTGGCGATTCGGGGCGAGGCCCGGGTTGGAACATGGATCCAGTATGACATGGCGGAGGTGTGATGCATGGTGTTAAACCCATTTCGAAGTTCGAAGATCGTTGAAGAATGAAGAATGATGTATACCAGCACCCGACTCTACAGGTCTCTTCGGCTTCGGGAGGCTTATTCAAGTGACGGGTGGAGGCCTGTAGAGTCCGGTTTTTCCTGTATACCCAGACACTCCATGTCTGTCATATATGCCGATCAGTTGGGGTGGTGTTGGTGGTCAATATGGCAGTCCCATGGGTCGTGTCTGGGAGGACGATCATTTCGGTGATCGCACGACGTCGCTCGAGGTCCGTGACGAATTGGAGCTGCGGAGCTTCACGTCTCGGAGCTGAAAACGTGGAGCCGACTCTAGACGAAAAGCGATGTGGGGCCAACATCAAACCCCCAAAGACTACCCCGGTCTAGTTCACGAAGTTCACGTCTCTGTCTACCGGCCCTTGACCGAATGGGTCAACACCAAGGCTCGCTGGACCGAGTCCCACGGACCGCCACGGGACTCGGTGTCGTCCGGTGGTTTCCACCGTGGAACACGGCGGATCGGATGCGGATTCGCTTCGGCACCGGTCTGACATGACATGACGACACCATGGTACTGCAGTAGAATTACATGTATTCCGTGACTTGCCTTCGCTCTCTATCAGTCCAATCATCTGTTACCGTGGATTCCGCCGCCGCGCCTTGCCACTGGGAACTTCAAAGCGAGAAATGTTGGCTGACGTCGTAAAGTGATGACCACACAGCCGCAAGCTCAACTTCGTGTCCTGCGAAGAGATCGCACAATCTCTCGAGATTGCGCGGGGTGTTTGGGTGGACCAACACCTCAACACTTCGTTGTTGATTGTAGTTCAAACAGGTCATGCCAGGAGCTGGAAAAGCCGTGGACATGGTTCCCCAAATGAATGGACACCGTTTCAAAAACCCGACCAATCCAGTTTCTGAACCCTATAGCTTCTGTCCCCGTGGTTTGAGTTTCTGAAACATTTCTGAACTCATAGAAAAGCTCAGTTAAAAAAAATAGAAAACTACAAAAACAAGACAACGTTCTTGAAACAAATCTCAGATCCACCATGGACGTCAAGTCGCTAGTGGCAAAACCTCGAACCCAAAAGCAAGCAAAACCCGTGCACTGCATGCTGTGCTGCTGAAAGCAACGTTAATGTCCAATGTCGCGCTCAGAGCACAGTAGACACGCAGCCAAGTGCAGCAAACAAACACCCATTTTTGGACCAACTGATGCGTGCCCCATCTTTTGGCAAGTCAATGACATCTACCGTGCCCCATCCTCTGTTCTCCGAGACGACTGTTTTCACGAACGAAGCGAGTCCACCACGGATCAGTCAGTGGATCCTGTTGAAGGATGAAAAGGTCATGTTTATGGACTAGGAAAACGTGTTTTTTCCAGCACATGTTGCACCGGTGTTGGGTGAATTAATCATAATATATGATAATATGAGTATACTTGTTGGCAGTCTTCATGTCTTTTCTGTTTTTCTATTCCAAATGATGAATGTCCTTGTGTCCTTGGTTCGTGTCGCATACAACTTTTGAAAGGGGCGGGTGGGTGGGTGGGGGAGGTAATAACGTTCTAGTTCTACACGACTGTGGTCAGTTTCGCCGCAGTTTCGTCGGATGGGGACCCACGTGTTTTGTCTCGTGTTGGCTTTGTATGGTTTTGCTGATTATATAATTCGTTTGTCTGGTCCGTTTTTCTCATTTAAGAATCACCCAGTCTTGGCCCCAATCTTTGTCGTTGACACGTTGTACTTGGACTCTTTGGTTAAAGTCTCTGGTTGATCCTATACTGCTCTGGTTGTTCAGGCAACAGAGATGTTGGAAGATCGTTTGCCTCTTTTCTTTTCTGACCTTTGGTCTGCGTGGTGTTCGGTGTTGTCGCACTCGCTGAAACTGAGATCTCCGTCTCTCAGAATTCCAATGGCGATATATACCAGCACCTTCAAAGGGGTCACCAATGGAAGCCCCTACACTACTTACGGATCTCCATTAAACACCCCTTTGAAGGTCCAGGTATGTGCAAAAGAATTTACAGTAATCCGAACTCACTCAAAAGGACAGGGCAAACGATGAACATCTTAAGATGTACGCAAAGAAGCCGTTGCGCAGTTGACAGTCAAAACTCAGGTTTTGAACGTTTCGACATATGACATCATAAATGACAGATCGCATGTAAAGAGTACCATCTCACAAAACACTGGCCTGCGGCGTGCGGCATTTGTTTGAGCCCCTTGCCGGGATGTTTATGAGCTTCTTCAATAAGCTACGGTAAATGTTTGTTCTTACAGGAGCGAGGGGTTCTCTTACATGTGCATGATCCGGCTTTCATTTGGTCCAAAACCAAAAATCGATGGTATATATTATTGATTATTAATATTTGGAGACTAAGTTGGAGTCAATTTATACTATTTGCTATAGATGTTTTTTATGTTTTTTTTTGTTGATGTTTGTTGTATATCTATGTTTTATATAACTAATAGTTTTTCAACATGCGAACAGATGTGCAGTGATGCAGATTCCCCCCCCTCTCAAGAGGGGTATGAAGAAACAAAGCTACCCTTTGACTCACTAAGTGGACAACCACCTGTTCGTAGAGGAGAATAGTCATCCAACGGGCAATGTTCATCAATTGTCCGCTTCCATGTTGGTCAGTATTTAGTCAATCCCAAACACTCCATGTATACACCTACCCCCAAAACCACCCCAACTGATCGGCATATATGGCAGTCCCATGGGTCGAGTCTGGCAATCGGAAGGGGTGACCAGACCATCCACCTGGTGCTGGCAGCCGATCTCCGGTTCCTCCGTTTCCTCCGTTTCCACAAAGGATGGAGAACAACTGCCACACAAGGGAGAACCAATCACATACAGATACATGGCTGACATGGCTGTGGATGAAAACCACCAGGATACCGACCGGTTTGACCTTGTGACGGGTTAGCCTTAGTTTGCGAGTCTGGTACCAACTGGTCGGGCTCTCAGGTTTGACCCAGGCCTGTTGGAGAGTCTAGGATCCGGCTTGCAGGGTGCTTAGAGACCACTGGCCTGGCCCATGGTTTTCCTGCTCCGGTCGTCTGGAGTCGTTCGTCGCTTCGCGTCCCCTCGCAGTCATTCGTCCCCTCGCGTCGCGCCAAGGAGCAGCTCAAGGTCTTTTCCACCTCGTCCCAGTGCCGTAGGAAGGACCGCAGTCTGGGACCATTGGGAACCTGCGAGCACCGACGCCGGCTTTTCGGCCGGCTGCGCGGATCCTCGGAGCGGTCGAGCCGGCGGTTCTTTACCGCCGGGTCTGACGACGCCATCCACTGCGGGATGGTTCCCCGACCTAATTGGAGCAATTCGTACGCATGAATCAAATACTCATACTCCAGCTCCCTCAAAGTGGCTTCAAATTGAAGCCACTTAAGCAATGATATATCAATCGTCCACTTAGTTCATACATCGAGGTTGTAAAGAGTCTAAGTGACCTTTTGATATATGGCCTTGATGTGTCTTGATATCAAGGACATATCGAAGTGGGGTGGAGAGAGGGCTCCGGACGAATGGATCGGGCCCGCACGCTTCGTCCGCAGCACCTTGAACGGGCCAAGATGAGCATGACAGACTGCGGTAAGAGATGATCATGCTATAGGCCATGAATGGTTTCTCTATAGGAACACCATGGTGTCAAGAGTCCTTTACCTCTTTTGCCCACTGAAGCCATGGGTAAGAAAGCCCTGCACATGAAAGATCTAAGCCCGGATGGCCAGTTGCTTGACTTAAGAGTTGATTGGTAGATGAGCGTGCACGCACGCAAAGATTACTGTAGGCGATATTGTTGCTAAGGCGCCTACGTCGGGCTCTTGAAAAACGAATGCCCCAGGGATTGGAAGATGAGCAGGAGCTCATCCCAGGTGGAGACCTACGAATACATGGAAACTCGTGGGTGAGACGGGCATTTGCTGACAGTGAAGTGCAGCGGGTCCCCAGGGAGGCAGAGGTCAGGAAAATCATCATGCACTTCTTGCAAAGCCACCCATGTTTGTGCACCTTGGACCGACCGTTTATCCTGCTGGAATGGTTCTTGCTATAGAGATATAGATATTGATGCCCCCCAGGGCCCACCGTGCCCGACATCCCAGGTCCACCCACTATCCATGACCGTGATGGATGGTGCAGGGAACAAGCTCCATGGCTCACCATGCACCACAACCTTCAAAGTGACCTCTTGAGATCTCAGAATGGGGTCACTTGGTCCCTGAAGAGGTCACTTAGACACTCCAAAGAGGTCACTTTGAAGGTCTGGCATATCCCAGCATGTACTGGATGGATAGGGTCCCCTATGTTTTGAGGCTGCACGATGCCATCGTATCTTCTTGAGACACAAGAAGGGCTCATCATCACGGTCATCATTTTCATCGCGCTCAATGTCAAGGTCATCCACAAAAAACGCATCGTGGCCATTGTTTAAACCAACATGGGTATTCGATACAATTGTTCATTCCTGAGGCATCCAGATGAGGCTGAAACACAACCCATGCCTTTCTTCTTCCTGGATCCCGATATGATGTTTCTTGACTGCACCCACCTATGTTATACCTTTTCGAAAAAATACTTAAGGTCTATAGAATGTAACACAACCAAAGCTGAGGAACCTCGACGTTAAAGAGATCTTACACGACAAGGATCCGTGGTCCTGCACACACCCTGGGAAACATCTCCCTTTTCACCGGCCCAAGCGCCGACAGCCCGTGCACACAGGAGCTACCAAAGAAAAGAAGGGTCGACGCCGAGATGAATGACACAGAGATGGACTCAAAAGAAGACGAAAAGAAGGGTGCGTGCAGTGAAGAATTGAAGAAGGAAGACAAAAGGGCGGAGGAGGCCAGCAGTGAGGACCAGCAAGATGACACAGAGGTTGATAGTAGTGAAGACGAAGACAAAGACCAGGAGAAGGACACTAGCAGTGAAGATGAGGATGCTAGAAGTGAAGGTGCAGAGAACAAGCGTGAAGAAGGCAAGGAGGCAGACGATGCTTGCAGTGAGGAGGAAGAGAAGGAGGCAGAGGAGGAGCGACCACAAGGTGTCCTCCATGTTAGCAGCGATGAGGAAAGTGAAGAAGGAAAGAAAGAGGATGATGCAGGCAGTGCAGCAGAGGAGACGAAACAAGAACGCACGAATGAAGATGAGGCTGAGGAAGCTGGCAGCCAAGGGCAGGACATGAGACAAGATGATGATACTAGCAATGAAGACAAGGACAATCAAGAAGACAAAGAGGAGGTCGCTGATGATGAGGGGAGGAAGCAAGAAGACACATATACAAATGATGGCAAGGAGGATGCGAATGCTAGCAGTGAAGAGGAGGGCAAAGAGGAGGATGCTGGCAGGGAAGATGAGGAGGGGATGCAAGAAGCAAAGGAGGAAACAAAGCAACAAGGCAAGGAGCTCGAAGATGCTAGCAGTGAGGACGAGGACAACCAAGAAGACAAACAGGAGGATGCTAGCAGTGATGACAGTGACAAGCAAGATGACAAAGAGGACGGTGGCAGTGAAGATGAGGAGAAACAGCAAGAGGGGAGCGCGTTTCCAATCGCAGAAACGAGCTCAAGCCTAGAAGCGCGCAGGGCTGCTTTATCCCTCTTGAAGTGTCGCCGGGTGGATGAGGAAAAGGAGGAGGCTAGCAGTGAAGAGGATGAGGGTGAGGAGGAGCAAGAAGGACAAGCTGAGGATGCTAGCAATGAAGAGAACGATGAAGAAGACGACGAAGAAGGGGGGCACGATGAAGCGCAAAGGCAAGGCTGAGGACAAGCGCGACGAGGATGAGGAGGTTGCTAGCAGCGAAGATGAGGAAACGAAGCAACAAGGCCAGGTCCCCGAGAATGCTGGCAGTGAGGATGAGCCCACTAAACCAGACAGACAGGACAACAATAGCAGTGAAGACGAGGACACGAAGGATGAGAGAGCACGTTTGCTGAGCCAACCCACACTGATTCTCGGTCAGGAGGAGGCAAACAACAAAAACGAAGATGCTAGCAGTGAAGATGAGGAGACAGAGGGTGATGAGATAAAGAAAGAAGACAACAAAAACGAAGATGCTAGCATTGAAGATGAGGAGACAAAGGGTGAGGACATGAAGAAAGACGACAACAAAAACGAAGATGCTAGCAGTGAAGATGAGGAGACAAAGGGTGAGGAGATGAAGAAAGAAGACAACAAAAACGAAGCTACGAGCAGTGAAGATGAGGAAACAAACGCTGAGGAGATGAAGAAAGAAGACAAAAGCGAAGCTACGAGCAGTGAAGATGAGGAGACAAAGGGTGAGGAGATGAAGGAAGAAGACAACAAAAACGGAGATGCCAGCAGTGAAGATGAGGAGACAAAGGATGAGGAGATGAAGGAACCAGA